ATTGAAAGTCTTCAAGCACTAATTCGCTTGGTTAGTAATGTGTTCAGTCATCAGTATCTAAAAGAAGAACTATTCAAAGTATTTAATGCTGCATCAGAAATAGAAATAGAAAGATTCTGGAATACTATTTCACTTGTAGATGATAGCATTACTGATAAAGATCATACTGCAGCAGATATAAAAAAAAGAGTAAGCAATGATTATATAATAATAATAAAAATAACTATATAAAAAAAACGTTAGTAACATACTTTTATTTAAAGCCATATCTCCAAGAATTCTTTGACCATTGTTGTATCGCAAGGATTATTTCTTTTTAATCAAGAAATGTAGTGAATCATCTTGTTCTATTTGTCTTCCTCTCATTGTTTGCCAGAAGAGTTTGAACAACTTCATTGTCTTCCAGATCCAATACCTGAAGACAATTTACATTACAAATTATTTGAAGAATTGTATAGTATGTGAACAACAGAAAATCATAGACCTTCTCTTATGAATTTTAAGACAAAAACAAATTATAGTAAAACAAAACATACCATGCTATTCTGTTCCTCTGCGGTATGTGCAAAAAATGTTCATGTTATTACAAATTGCACTGAATGCGAAAAGCCACATCTTTTGTTTAGTACAAAAAAACTCTCTGAAAAGAATATCATATTATTGCAAAGATTCTTAGATACAATATTTTATATTTGTGGCATGTCATTTTATGGAACATGTGATTTAGTGATAACTATACCACCAAAGCAATCAGACATATATGATGATTCGAAAAGCATTGGTTCTGATAATGAAACTAATGATCAAGAAAATATGATTCAAGAAAATGAAACTGAAGAATCTGAACCTGAAAGCTCAAACAATGATTTCACTGAAAATATAGAAGAGTCTGATGATAATGCAGTGAAAGAATCTATTAGTGAGCTTTTTTTAAGGGTCTTTGTTAATAATTCATTGTCCTGTGCGTCAAAAATTAAAAAGCCATACTACTCTGCTGGGATTTACTTGAATGTTTGCGTTGAATGTAGAAGTCTAGATATTTCTAAAGTGGCAAAAGGTGAATATCCATATTGTAGTGACTGTGGTGGTAGTTCTGGTGGTTCTAATTCAAAAAAGTATTCAAGAAAAAATAAGGGTAGTAAAAATAAGCGAAAGCATATAGAAAAAGATTAAAATTCTATAAACTTATAAAATTTTTACTTGACCTTCTTTTCATTAATATAGTTATATTTGTACTTAAACATATTATCTGAATAAAATAAAGCGATAACATAATCATGATAGCATAGCAGGCTTTAATTCTGATTGGTCAATTATTAAAATATATAGTTACATATACACTGCATATAACAGCTGACTTTGAACGAATTGTTTGCTATGAAAATAAATTGTTAAAGGTTGTGGTATATATATTTCGAAGCTACACTTTATAACATATCAAATTAATCTGACGAAAGATTAATTAATCCAGAAGTTAGCAACAGGGTATACTTTTATCTTATAGATCAAAGTAATTTAGTAATTAGCAAGATAAATCGCACCTTAGTTAATAAGTTATTTTTTAAAACTTGAAAAATAGCGATTCAAACAATATACTTACAACTAGTTTTACGAACTTTTTTTTGAATATAGGGTTAGTTGACTAAGCTTACAACATATTAAACATAGAATATGTATAGAATATGTATGATTATACACTTTGTTCTGTAGTTAGTGTTTGTTTTTTATATTATCTATACTCTTCAAGAGTCTGTATTACTCTTTTTAATATTTGATGATTCTTTTTAATTGATTTATATAATTCATTATTTATCTTATTGTCTGGTTATTAAACTATGTACTAGTCAGTAAGCGATTCGATTCGATTAATAAAGATTATTATATATATTACAGTATTAATTTAACCAGATATGCATTTGATTTTTGCTGCCAGAACTAATGTATTAAATATTATTATTATAAATTAAAACTTATAGTTTAAAGGGTGTGGTGACTTAGTGAAGTGGTTAAGTTGTCGCACCCCGAGTATCAAGGTCTAGAGTTCAATTCCTACCAGTAATGATATTTGAAAACTATATCTTAAATATCCTTCTATAAGAAGAATATACGAACTTAATTGATACCGGTCTCTGACTATAAATGTGGTTATACCAACTCGATTTGGAAAATGGATTAGCGCCTGTTGTGTAAAGATTCCACAAGGCTAATCCCAATTAGGAAAGTTACTCGCAAAGTCCCGAATATAGTATCCATATCCGAAAACCCATACTGCAGGAAGTCATGATTAGGAATATAGAGGAATGCAAGCTGGTATATATAAACATACTCCTGAATGTTGTAGAATAGTCAGTGC